GAAACACCTGAAAACTTCGATAAGCCTATCCTCAATAATAGTAAATAAACCCATAAAAATATTCAAACTAAGATAGATAATCAAGAGCAAGAAATTCAAAAGTTACGTCAAGATATAGACAAGTTCATCACAAATCTAAATCAAGTCCTACATAAAGTCAACAATTTGGAAAAAAAACTAGACATCTTAATCAACAAATTGGAAAATCATGATAACAATATATCAAAAGTCCCAATTATACCAACCTTATCAGAACCAGAACCTCTCAGCAAAATAACTTCTCACCACTCATACGAAGCAATTACCAAGCAAAATAAAGATTTAAAAAAAAATAATAATAACTTGTCATCAACCATTACTGAGCTCAAAATCCAACTACAGTAACTCAGCACACAACACAATCATCTGCTCAGCAGATTAAGCCAAATAGAACAAACATCAACTAATGTTACATATCAATAATATCTTAAATGACCAACACCATAATAATAATCCTCCAGCCAACAACCCAGAAATCTATATCGATAACTCCAATCTCACCAAAAGTCTTTATTCATATAATAATATTTTTTCTTCTTCTCTTCAACTCAATATAGGTACACTCAATACCAGAGATCTACGTATCCCAGGCAAATCACAAGACATCATCACTCTTTTTCAAAATCTCAAATTCGATATCCTCATCCTAACAGAAACTAAACTAAATAACCAACAAGCCAAATTCATCTTCACACTATCAATACGATACTCACACATCTGGTCCTGCAATGAAACACATTCCCTCAGAACTGGAGTCAGCATCCTATGCAATTCATTTTGGTCCAGACATATACAAAAAACCTTTAAAATTCCAGGAAGACTCATTCACATATCCTTAACATTCACCAGCAATATTCAACTAGAAGTCATAGCCATTTACTCACCAGCATCCAACTTTGGTAATGATCAGAGAACCAAATGATTAATACTATATTACATAAACAAAATTATCTCATAAACTAAATACTTCATTATCTGTGGAGACTTTAATGAACATTACTTCTCACCACCAAATAACAGCCTTGTATCTCTTCTCAAGTTTAAAGACATAGTAGAAATTAACCAGCTACTTCATCCTAACACAAACTTATATACTTGGTCCAGATCAAATTCAAAATGCTACCTTGACATGATCTGGTATAGCCCTAATCTTGCTCCTCTTTGCACCTCCTCAGAAATATCTGACTCATTCTGGGTTAGTTCAGATCATCTTCTCACAAAATCCTCTATCAACCTTCTTCTAGTTCTATGAAAAACATCAGCTTCAGTAATCAGACGCTGGAAAACAAAGTGACTAGCATTCATAACTAAGAATACACCTCAAGAAATATGGAACTAATTCGAAGAATTAACAAATACACATCCATCAATTAACACTAACACTTCACAGCTATCAGTATCAGAACTATGGATCACAATCAAACATATCATCCTAGATTCAGCTAACCAAATTTTTAAAAAAAAGCCAATTACCAATAATTTCACGCAATTAACAAACACAACCAACCTACAAAAAAATATAAACTCACAGGTAGTATTCTTTTCCAACTACACCAATACCAGAATGGAAAATCAATTACCAATACATAACAGAAATTATTAATATTATTTAAAAAACTACATCAAATGGAAGAATCAATACCATTATTTCTAACAAATAACTCCAGTAATAACTATATTTCAATGCTAACAAGTCATATCAAAGAATTAAGAAATCAAATCCAAGTACACAAAAAAATCGAATCAAAAAAAATGCAAGCACTCCAGATAGAACAGGCCATAAAACTTAGTCAAGCAAACTTTCAATAAAACTGAAGTAAGATGCTCAGCAACATACTTAATAAAAACTCCTCACAAATCTCTATCAATAAAGTATATCAAAATGGGCATTTCATCGAATATCCAACTGAAGTCAAAAATATGATCAGATAACACTTTAGTCAATAGCACAGAAAACGTGTAATACAGGATTGGCCCTCACAAAAATAGAAAGATATATTTGAGCTAATAGAAACCATAGACAGCTCAATATTCAAATCAGTTACTGCTCCTATCACAATAGATGAACTACAAGAACATCTTACACAACTACATCCAAACAAAGCAGCTGATCCAAATGATATCAAGAATTTCTTCTAGCAACATTGTGGACAAAAAGTACTTCTCATGCTAGTTACACTATATAACAAATGCTTAGATATGCAAGAAACTCTCAATGATTGGAAATAAGCAAATATTATTCTAATTCCTAAATCTACTGACTGAGAAGAAAATTTGGATATTACTAGACCTATAGCATTACTAGATACAGCAAGAAAGCTTTTCTCCCGAATTCTTACCAATCATATTTCCAACTTATGTTCCAAGCATAACATACTTAAGGGTAATAACTTCTTAATATTAAAAAATATCTCAATAGTAAGTTCATTTCATATTATTAATAGCCTAATGAAAGATATCAGAGAAAATAAAAAAGAATTATGATGTGTATTCCAAGATATGCACCGAGCTTACAATTCTGTCAGTTGGTCAATTTTAAAACTCAGCCTTAACAGGATAAAGATGGACCCAAAATTTATTGCACTCCTACAAAACTTATAATTAAATTGATATAATCACATCTTTACAGACTATAGATTTACAGAGTCATATCATGTGGAAGATGGCCTAGACCAAGGAGAAGTTAATTCACCAATACTATGGCATATCTTTTATGATCCACTACTATGCATGATTGATTCAGTCAAGCTCACCCATGGTTATAACATAAACAATACTTCAATCTAATTCCCACATTTCAAACCTGATCCTATCCAGATACATGTTTCTAACTTAGCCTTTGTCGATGACACAGTTTGGATAGCCAATTCCAAAAATAATATGGTTCAAATCCTCCAATTGGCCTAACAATTCTTCACAATGTGTGATATAGCAATCAATACAAAAAAAACAGAGGCAATGATAATTAACCCCAATAAACAAGCTGATACAGTCAAATTATCTTTCAATCCAGGAGATCCAGAGCTGAAAACTATTTATAATAGTAACTATACTAAATACCTTGAAATCTTGCTTAGTCCAGATGGAAAATTCAAGACCTAACAACAGCAAATCAAAACTGAAGTAGATTCAATAACAACAATACTAGAGAAAAAATTTATTACGGACAAACAAGCAATTTACATCTTCAACAGAGTTCTATTTCTAGCTATCGAATATAAAACTCAACTATTTGTTCCCTCTACCACCTTCTGCGAATCAATAATGAGAAAAATCAAGAAAATTGTTAAACAAAAATCAAAGCTTCCTACAGATTGTTTAAACTCTATTCTACATCACCCCGCATTATTAGTTCTTGAGAACCTCTTAGAAACTTTGGCTAGAAGCAAAATTTTAGAACTATTTATTCGACTCAATGATAATACACTCATGGGCAAAATTATACAAATCAGATTACAAAAACTTCAGCAGCAAAGATAGACTGAAGATTCAGTATTTCTCAATCTAACTCCAGAACTCTCACCGATAGGGAAAAATCTAATAGTCAGCATATTACCCCTAATGTATCAATTCAACATCTCCTTCTTATCTTCCACAAACAACACATTAACTGCAATTTATCCATCCCACAGATGGTCCATCTCGAAAATTCTGAATAACTGGCCTGACCACAGAGCTTGCAGAAAACCATTAGCAAAAGATAATATCTTATTCCTATCACAAATTACTAAATATAATAATACAAAACTTATTTCATGGAAGTAATACAAACACAAATTTAGAGTAATAAAACAGGGCTACAAACCAAAATGATTTAATAATCTAACACAAAGGGTCAATAATCACAATAACTCAACTGATACAACAATCATCAATAAAACATATAAATGTAACAAAGACACATACAAAGTCCCAGCTCACCATATCTCTACACACTTCAATGACAGCTCTAACCTATACATAAATTGGCAAAACCTAAAAACAAAGTTAAATCTCCTGGAAGTAAATCAATTTTTTACAGATGGATCAATGGCCAATTCTGGCTTAGCTACAGTTTCAGCAGGAGCAGCATGGACTTCATGGCTACCTAATACCAATTTCAGATTTTCAGTAACCAACTCACTATCCATAACAAAAACTGAATTATTCGCAGTTTGTGCTTTGTCAGAAATTATATCAGAAAATTCAAATATATCAATCTTTTCAGATAGCCAATCAGTTATACAAGGATTCAAAAATAACATCATAACATGATCATCACAATCAAATTGATATCTTTACCAACAACCAAATTGGCTATTGTGGGAGATACTAGCAAACAATATTAGCTGCAAAAATCTAGATATCATAATTTACAAAGTAAAAGGTCACTCCAGCAATTCAGGTAATGACCTAGCCAATCAGCTTGCAAATCAAGACCATAATAAAGACACCCTTTTCATCAATCATTACCAACTTCCATTCATCAAATTTACACCTATATTTAATCAAAACTTTCCAGTAGACACCAATCTAAGAACTTTTCTTAAAAAATTCTCTCAACACTCCTGTATCTACAAATGGCAGAATGAATTGAGAACTAAAAGTACCTTACAATCTCTCCTGCAAAATGCTGATTGGTCAAGTATACTATCTGTGTGAAATCAAGATGGAGGTATCAATAGCAATCAAACTGATATATACGCATCCAAAAACAGGATCTTCTTCATCAAAGCATTCCATAACATGCTACCCACTCTGCAATATCTCAAAATTCACAAATCTCACGTATACAAAAATAATATATGTTATCTATGCAAGTCAGCAGTAGAAGATCAAATTCATCTTTGGACCTGTCTCACAACTAGTAATACAAGAGTCTCTATCCATCAACAACTATTATCCCACCTACAAGATGCATCCAAAACACAAACAGATAGCTCAACAGCTGGGCTCTCTAAACAAATAATTCAAGCTTATCTCTACGCATCTCCAACCTTTACAGCCATATTCAAATCCCACTCGCTCAATATCATTAACTTTAGTGTACTTATCAGAATAGTACCTAAAGAACTAGTCCAGTTTTTTATTTCACAACAGTACTCAACATCAACAGCAAGAAGATCAGCAGTCAAATTTATCAAATGGTTATCACATCAGTTTTACAAACACATCTGGCTCAACCGCTGCAAAGCAATCAACAAACACGAAAAAACTTTAGGAATAAATAAAGTACTCAAACTTCTGAAATAGCCAACTAACAAAGGCTGACCCAAGGGAGTTTTCTCGACATAACCCTATCAAACTATCTCCAAGATATGATCAGAACCTTTTCTTTACACATGTGATTTCCCAAATGACCAACATCAAAATCAACAATGCCCAAATCAAGCTCTCACATCAAAAAAAATCAATAAATTAACCCAAAAAGTCTTTAGTTTGCAAATTAAACCTTGTAAATTTATTTTCCCATTTGAACCAGTTTAGTCTTAGACAGGTCCATGATGGCTAGTCACATCTTATATTTTTAATATAATATGGATGATCTCTGATCTATCATCTTTTAACATGTATTTACATACACATACTGATCAAAAGTATTGGTCACACAACAATGATCGAATAAAATTTTGCCAAGTCGCATTATTTCAAACGTAATTTACTCTATGAAAATCCAACCAAATTCCTAAAACTTTTTTTTGTTTAAAAGCTAAAGAGTTCTGGATTTCTTTATCTTAAGACAATATCTTTATTTTCTACTTCAATTTTCGAAAAAAATGACAAAAATGTGAGAGTTAATCGAATTTGAGCGTGGCATGATTATCGGTCTTCACAAGAGAAATCACACTGCCACAGATATTGAAAAAATACTTAAAATACCTAGAATAACTTGTATTAATGTAATAAAAAAATTTGAAAAATCTCAGACTATATTTAATGTTCCTCGTTCAGAGAGATCACCTCTTTTGAAGGTTATTAATAAATGTTATTTCATTCATACTGCGATTGTCAATCAGAAGGATGCCGCAAAGGAAATAACAGAAAAATTCAATAATCTTGGACTGACTCAAGTTAGTATGAGTACTACAAGATGTGTTTTACATGAACAAGGATATTTCAGCTGCATTAGTAGAAGAAAACTACTTGTTTTAGAAAACAATAGAAAAAAGTGACTAAGATGGTGTAAAGAATAAAGACAGTGGGATGAAGAATGGAAGAATATTATTTGGAGTAATAAATCTCACTTTCTTTTATATGAAAATGATGGTAGACATCATGTATAACATAAACCTCATGAACAATATGATATAGATTGCATGTTTCCTACTGTAAAAAGTGGTAACAAAGGTATTATAGTTTGAGAATATTTTACAAAAAAGAGACTTGGTCCTTTAGTAGTTGTTAATGGATCAATTACAGGCAATACATATAAAATACTGTTAGAAGAGCATTTATTAGACTTTATACAAAGTCTTGATGATGATATTATATACACTTTTCAAGATGATAATGTACCTGTACATAGGGCAAAGTCTGTAATTGAATGGAAAGAGGAAAATTTGATTGCCTCTATTCCATGGCCTGCACAAAGTCCAGATCTTAATCCAATTGAGCATCTATGGGATATTTTGGGTTAATGAGTACATAGGCTAAAACCTCATCCAAAAAATTTGCAGGAATTGAGTGATGCGCTAAAGGCAGAGTGGCTAAAAATTCCTATCAGTGATTTAGAAAAATTGGTAAATAGCATGCCACGTAGAGTCAGTACTGTAATTAAAAATAAAGGAAATCCCACAGAATATTAATTGAAAATTCAAAAAGTTCATATTTAGATGAGTCTATTGATATAAAGTTTATTATGTGTTATTAATGCTGTTGTCATATAAAGTCATTTCAAATTCTAAGTAAAATTTTGCGTTTTCGATGATAATCATTATGTGACCAATACTTTTGGCCAGTATGTGTAGTAAAACTAACGTAGACAAGAGATAAGATTATACTAAAGCTTTACAAATAATAATAATAATAATAATAATAATAATAATAATAATAATAATAAATTTTTTTTATATCTCTTTTTTGTTAATCTCTCAAGATTAGATGAAGTTCAAGTTATTCAAGATAAAAAAACTATCATAATAATTCTTTAATTATAATAATTTATATAATCTCATAATTAAATATGTTCTATTACTTATAATTACTTTTATTTTATTAAATTTTTTTCTTTTACTATACTTCTTTACAATTAATATTATATTTAAAAATTTAAAATAATTGCAAAAATATAAAAAATATATAAAAATCAAAAATATTTTTCTTTTTTTTTTATTTTTTCTTTTCTTTCTTATTATAAGTTCATAACTAATAAATTAATATATCTAATATACAAGAACTAAAGATGATCCCTCAATTATTGTAATATAATGACAAATAAAGTATCATCTAGTTGTAACTAGTTGTAACTTATAAAATTTTGAAGTTATAACGTATTATAACAGATGACAAATAAGCATCACATACTTGCTGCACTATCTTTAACAAGAATAACTTAATAAAAAACAAAACTCTTCAAAAACTCTTTTAATTTCAATATAATCTATAAAATATCTCAAAAATACTCTTGATCTTCAAACTTCTTCTCAAGCAAATAAGTCAATAACTATTCTTTCTATTTTATTAACTAATAAATTTTCAGACATAATTTCTATAAATACCAAGTCTAGTATATGCAAAAATTCATATGACAGATTATCTGATATATATATTTTACATATCAAATATGTAAAAAAAGAAATATTAAAATCTAAGTCAACTAGTAATAATGATAATCTGATCTCAACAGATAGATAATTAATACTAGCAAATAATTCAATTAGTCAATATAATTATTTAAATATAGAAATTATCCTATCTGAGCATAATTATACTAAAAATAATATCATAATATTATATAATAATACAACATAATAATACAGAAAATAGAGAAGTCTCTCAACTAAATAATGAACAAGAATAGAAGATTATTATTAGTACTAAAAGATATTAAAGCTGGATAGCTAAAAATTTATTTCCTAATCAATAATCTAAAGATAATATTATCTATATTAATAATAAACTAGTAGAACTATATAACTTTCTCAAAGTAAAATCTATTACTATAAATAAGAAAAAATATATTTATGCAGAATTCTCATTAGCCAAGTCACAAGATTAAGTTAATTATATTTTTCTTAATAATAATTTTTTTACAATCAATTATTCAGCATTTTCAATAAAGATTAATCCTAATATAATAGTTACAATCAGAGATATTTCACTAGATATCACAATCAAATAAATCAGAATAGTTATATCTTAATTTGAAGAAATTCAAGAAATAAAACAGAAAATAATTAATAAATTGACTTATATAACTATTCAATATATCACAAAAGAACAAGTAAAAGCTATTATTAAATATTACTTGGAATAGATAGAATATATCTACTATCATTTCTTAATCAATATGAAATTATTCAAAAAAAAGATATCTTCTCAATCAAATTAATTAACTTATCTTATAGCATAATAATATATAAACTAGATGACACTCTTTAAAAAATTAATGCAAAAATATATTTTATTTCAAGATCTTCAGTTAAATATAATAGACAAAGAATAGTTATCATTAATTTTAAATCAGAAATAAATATGACAGAAGTCATACTTAAAAAATTAGTTTTAAGAAACTCACAATTATAATAAGAACAAATTAATATAAAAATATGTAATATCTGCTTCTTCTATATATATTATAAAGCTTTATATTATCAAAAATAAAAAGACTAGATTATATAATCAACTTAATAAGCTATATGAAAATTAGCATATTATCTATCACAAGCTAATCATCTTATCATTCATCTTAAACTTTAAAAAAGCTCTGCTAAATAAGATTAACATACCTAATTAATCAAGTAAAAATAAAAATATCATTAAAAATAATCAAACACTTTTACCTAATAAATTAGATAATAATATCATGACTAATAATATATAAATATACAAATATTAATAAAACAAACTACATATACATGATTAAATAATTTAACAATTATATTTAAATATGAATAAATTCTTTAATAATATTAATAATATTTTATTAAAGATTAATAATATAGAGAAAAAGTTAGATTACATAATTAATATTATTAATTTAATTAACTTCACTATAATAATCTTGATCACATTAATAATATCAAAGCTTTTCAAATCAAAATCTCTCAAAAAATATAATAATAAAAGCTTATATAATAATATACTAAAACAAAATAATAAATTAAAAATAAATAATAGCTTACTAGTCAAAATAACTACAAAATTAACATTTTAACTTGAAATTTTAAAAGAATAACATATCTAGCTGGTAAATAGATTTAGTCAACTTGAATAATCATATAATAATATCTCATAATTATAGTCATACAGAATATAATAATACAAAATTCATACCAGAAATTTTTATAAAAAATTCCAAACTCAACAAAAATTTATATAAATATAACAATATCTTTTTTTTCTTAATATAATAATAGGCATAATAAATATTAGAGAGCTTTGTAATTTAGACAAAGTACAAGATATTATTATACTTTTTTCAAATCTTAAAATAGACTTCTTAATTATCACAAAAATCAAACTCATAAATTAATAAGTCAAATTCATATTTTTATACTCTAATAAATACACTTATCTATGGTCAACTAATAATTCTCAATTTTTAGATATAGAAATAAGCATACTAATTAATTCTTTTTAATTAAGATATATATAAAAAATTATCAAAATTCCTAGAAGATTAATATATATTTTATTAGTTTTTATTGATAATATCAAAATTAAAGTTATAGTAATATATTTATCAACATCTAATCTTGAAAAAGATTATTAAGTCAAAAAGATATTAATATATTATATAAATAAAATCACATTACAAGTAAATCTCTTTATAATTAGAAATGATCTTAATAAATACTTGTTTGATCCCTCAAAAAATAGTTTATCTTCATTACTCAAATTCAAAAATATAATTAAAATAAATTAGTATCTATATCTAAATATCAATATATATATATATGATTAAGGATAAATTTTAAAAGATATCTGGATATAATCTAATATAGCTATAATTTAGTTTTAACTATTAATCAATCAAATATCTCAGATCTATATTGAATTATAACTAATTATCTACTAATACAGTTATCTTTTAATCTTTTTCTTATACTTCACAAAACTTTTCTCTTTATAATCAAAATATAAAAAACAAAAAGCTTAGCATATATTACAAAAAATACTTTTCAAGAAAATTAGATATTATTTGAAAAAACTGTTAACTCATATTTAAAAATTAATACAAACTATATAAATTAGTTAATCTCAGAATTATGAACTATAATTAAGTATATAATTATAGATATAGCTAATCAAGTTTTTAAAAAAAATTTATATCTATTTATCAAATACAAAGTATTAAATATATAGAATTATAAAAAAAGTAGATTAATAGAAAGTATACTATATTATCTTAATTAATATCAATATAACTTCACAAAATTAATAATAAAAATACAAGTATAACTGACAAAGTTATTTGAATAC